AAAAAAGGATTTTCAAGGAGGGTCTAACGAGGCCCTAAATAACTAGAAAAATTGTGGCATGAGTATGCCTTTACAAGTTTACAGAGCCAGCATTTACTTGTCCATTGAGCCTCGCTCCACTACTCTCCACATGCACAAAAGACAAAAAATATGGCGTTGTATCTTTCCATGTTCTAGAGGAAGATTCATTCTCATCTTTCACATTTGGAGACTAGTGGAGCGCGGCCCGTTGCCTGGCACAACTGTGGAACTCTCCTTTTCTTTTTTTTTTCTTTTTTTTTCAATGGAAAGTTGGTCACATTTTATTACTTGAGATAGGAAAACTTCAGAGGCCGAGGACCGCACAATTCTACCCAGGTGAACATACTGGGGCCATTACCCACCTTTGGCTAGTACTGGAAACCGGGTCCAGTGTCCCTTTTTCAAAAAAGCCCTAATCTTCAAAGGAAAAAACTTCCAAAAATTTACACCTTGAGGCTTGAACGCTCATTAAAAGGGACTTCAAATCGGAAGTCAATCCTGCTGATTTTTATTTTTTTTATTTTTTTTTTCCCCTATCGGGCTGCTCCATCTATTGGTGGGGAGCGGCACCTCCTGCTGATTTAACGAAGGTTGGAAGCTAAAGTTCTCTCATTGTCCCCTGCCCCTCTTCTTGGCGTAGCCAACTTGCAATTGCTAACTCCCCTTTCGGGGAGACCGAGGCCAAGCGGTTTCCTACCGTCCAAACTTTTTAAAACCAGTATAGCCCTCTCCTTGCTCTCTCCCTCGATCTTCTCCAATCTGCCAAGGTAGACTGCCCCCAGTATACCGCCTGAGGGCAGTCTTTACTTGGCTTATTTGTTGATAGATCGGGGGGACAAAAATGGCAAGGAAGGTAAACCCTTTCTATTTCGGGAGGGCAGTTCTTTTAAAGTAGATCCGCTTCTGTTTGGATGGAAGGTCGAAGGAAAGAGACTCCGCAACATAAAACGAAAGCGGGAATAGTGGTAGCTCGTAGCAGAAATATGAAGGGTCCACAGGCTGTGGCAGGATACAGATTTAACAAACAGCTGGATTCTTCAATGCCCCCACGAGATTTGCTTTGACTCTGGCGGGCTCCTGAAGAGGATACCTTCTCAAAAGCAAGCTACCGTCTTCACCTGAATAGAACGCCCGGTCATTACTGCTGCATCTGGAACGAAAGTATCTGGACCGAAAGTTGTCCCAAATACAGCTATAATGACAGGGCGTTCTATTCGGGTGAAGACGGTAGTCTGTGGCGGTTACAATCGCTCTGAGTAACAGCCTCTTCACTTTTTTTTTTTTTTTTCTCTTCTCAATGGCTGTTCCAGAGAGGAATGCACTTGAATCTCACATGTGCCAGATGCAAATCGGGCTGGGAATCCACAGAGCATCTATGGGCCTATGGCTCCGGAGTCCGGTGCACTTGCTCGGAGGAGCTCTGGCGATGGTGGCAAACTCAATCGGCAAAACGGACAGATAAGACTTGCGACTGGTCTGACCACTGGATATTATTTAATAAACCAGCCAGCCAGGCCAGGCCTAAAAGATCGGTGGAGCTAGGCAGCGTTGGTCTGCAAAGGAATACTGCTGGAAATTGTATGGAACTGTGGCATATTGCGCATCCACACGGGCCTGCAAGGCCCGACCAAACAAGGAAAAGTAGGGAACATCTGAACTTCAGCACTGTCAGCGAAAAAAAAAAAAAAAAAAAAAAAAGAACCATTTGAATATCCGTGTACACTGTTCAGGGTATGATTCAAGTATTCAACATTTACCATGTATGTCGACTGCAAAGTGGACCACTTACCACGAGACTGATCAAACATTTTGCATGTATTAAGTCCATTAGCACGCTCAGATGCATTTCGAATGTTGTGCAGCGGGGCGTTTGCGATATGAATATTTCCATGTTATACCGGAAGATTCATTCTCATTGTCTGCATTTGATGAGTATTGGACCGAGGCTGTGGTTGGGGGCCTGGCTCACATGCACAACATTCCAAATGCATCTGCAGCTGCTAACCGTCTTTCCATTTTTGTAAGAACGTAAAAGTGCCGCAAAAGGTGAAAAACGCAACCCCACATACCCTACTTCTGCAGGACTTTTCCCAATGGAGCAGCACTATCTTGTGGCGCCTCGAGGATCCAACAGCCTGCACATCGGGGGAAAAAATAAAAAAAAGGTTCTGACAAGTTTGGTCGGTACTGGGGCAGCTGGTGTTGTCCTGTCACCCTAGCAACCGGGGTATGAGATCTAGCGAGTTCTGGTACGAGGACTGAACACCTGGGCAGTAATCTTCCCCCTGCGGTACGGGGAGAGAGCTGGATCGTGGGTGGATTTTGTTTTCCTGTCTTTCTGTTTCTTCTTAGTTGAAGCCAGGTAATGACCCTGGCATCTCAAAAAAGGAGGGAGGGTGGGGAGCTAGAATTGGAGGATGGAAGGTAGTAAAGGGGCTCTCGACAGAGGAAGGTTGTATGTTAAGGTAAGTAGGTTAGAAGGATAATGCTGGGACGACACAGGCGGGGGCTGGAGCTTTTGCTCTGTGACCTGGGGGAGCTTGAGGCCTGTGGAGTTATGCCGAGGGTGGAAGGCATAACCAGACCGTTCGACGTTGCCGGCGCCGGGGTGTTGACCCTGTAACCTGTGTCAGGGGCTTGCTGCTTAGGGAAATGTCGAGGGGGGAAGGCACTTCCTGTCCGTCAGAACTAGGTTGGTCAGTACTGGGGAGAGTTGTGGTGCCCTGTTACCCTAACAGAAGGGGGTATGAGATCAAGTGAGTTCTGGAATGAGGACTGAAAGCCTAGACCGACGTTCCGTCTGCTGGGGGGGGGAGCTTTTGGATAGTAGGTAGTTTCAGTTTCGACCCCCCGCTCCCATATGTTTCCAAGTCTTTTCAGAGTTTTTCTGAATTTTTGCCTATCTCATGAGGAAGTAAGTGCTGCTTGAGTAGCCTAGTATGGTTTTCCTAAATTTTCTAGAATCTACTTCATAGTTCTCAGATTGTTCTTGGCCGAAACCAGGTAATGGCCCTGGTATTTCAATTCATTTGTAAAATTCCATATGGGACGTGTTGCTCCCCAGGAATAGACTGGAGCATTTGTCCCAAAAAAAAAAAAAAAAAAAAAAAAAAAGGAAAAAAAAAAAAGGAAGGAAAAAACACGGGCTCCTTCTTTCACGGTGCAGGGTACCTGGATGGCTTCTTTTGATTTTTTAAAAGAACTACCAGTCCTCAAACCGCGCTCGCACTGCCACGTACTAGGCTGTTTCCACTTCTTCGAAAAAACAGGGCCACCTCTGGCTCTCGCGGAAAGAGGTGGGATCAACAAATTTACCAAAAAGTGCCTCGCCTATAAGGAGTGGGATCAGGCCCTTAATACATGAAAAGTACTTCATCTGTCCTGTAGTATGTGGTGCGCTTTGCAGTGCAGATACATGTTAAACGTTGAGTAGTGGAACCATACCTGCTGGCCATCCGCACTGCCCATATGCCCCTTCACCCCTGACACTCACATACCGACACATACTCGCCGATTGAGCAGTGGGAAGAGTTCCTGCCAGTGGGCAAGATTTAGCTACTGATCTGACAGTACTTCAAACAGAAGAGAACATAAAAGAAACAGAAAAGTCGGAGCCGGACCATGAGGCTCGAGAAAGAAAAACGGGAACCCACAGTCCCGGCGAAGAAGGAGGTATGATGACAGCACTGCCGCTTTTGTGTGGCCGCCCCCGGTTCCTCGAAAAGACTATGTAGTCCACGAGGTCCAGCGGGAGGGCTTTGAGCGACCGTCCCTTGTGTGTGGCTGTTTGAAAGTTGTGCGGCCGGCACCGGGTGTGTGTAAGGGTCGAAGTGCCAAGGAGCACGAGTTGTCTTTTGTTTTTGGAGTCCAGGCCCTACTGTCCACTCAGTCAGGGATCGTCGCCTGTCGCACACACATATGTACCATGGACATACGGCCTGTTCGACCAGGACATGACAAAAACCCAAAAAAAAAAAAAAAAAAAAAAGACCTTCCCCATATTTTGTGCTGCAGATACCGTTTGCGGCTCTATTGAAAAATGGGACATTTTCTTGCGGAATGGAATCCACGCGGCGTGCCACGATACCCCGACTCCAAAATTGCCTGCAACGGTGCCGGCATCTCCGGCGACCGCAGAAACAATCAACGGTGCCGGCATCTCCTGCGACCGCGGAATCAAGTCGGATCCCAATAAACTCCAAAAAGTACTTGACCTAAGTACTGTCGAATCAGTAGCTGAGATTCGACTACTACTTCAACGTAGGCGAGGCCAGAGCTTCGGGAGAAAATTAGCATATCGCTGTATCCTGCTACCCCGCTACAGAAATGGTACCTACTTCCAATGTTGCACACTAAAACGCATGTGGGGACCTCCAATCAACGCAGTTGGCAGAAAAGTTGTTCCGGGCTACCGTCCCCCGTCTGGCTTACATATTGTTACATCCACAGGATCCCCTTGGATCGGCGGTCCCCAGGGGCCGCTATCAGTCGCACCGTGGTAGCAGGCTACAACCAAACATGCAGGTGGGACCGAGCCCCCGTATGTGAGAGGCGGGCCTCCCCAAGACTTACCTATCCGACCATAGGGATAATTAGGGAAAAGGAAATAAAAACAAAAAATATAACGTAAAGAAAAAGAAAAGATCAGGACCCTGTGGGACAACAAAGAGGAAAAATACAACAAAACAAAGAACTTCGAATCTAGCAAGCTCGGGAACGCCCTCCTGAGGTCGAAGTCTCACCAGTGCTTTGAGGAATGTATCTGGCATGTATTTGTGGAGCGTGATTACTGATGGTTTTGTTTTTGTTTTTCCTGTAGTGGTGTCCTTTTCATGCACTGCCAGAGAGGCAGGGCGTATTCCACGCGAGGCAACTAACTGCCTCACTCACATCATACTCACACTAGCACTGTATCGGACCACGATCACAGCATAAGGGAAGTTTTTGTTTTCTTTGTTCTTCATTTGTTTTCATCTGACAGACGCATCGGGCGAGGCAACTAACTGCCTCACTCACATCATACTCACACTAGCACTGTATCGGACCACGATCACAGCATAAGGGAAGTTTTTGTTTTCTTTGTTC